TTCATTGTTAGCATCTCATCATCAGATCGCTGCATATGAAATGTCGCAATCCAAAAGTTCCAGTTTTACAAAAAGTGTAACATAACGTAAACGTCTTTTGATTATTGAGTAGCATGATAATCGAGCGCCATCATTTTTTTCGAACACGTGTCCGATTTCTTGCATGACGTTTGCGATTTTTAAATTATAAAAACATGAGGAGCGAATGAGAAATACCGTACATTTTTTTTTCTTCTCTCGGAAATTATCTGAAAAACGCTGGAACGACATTTCGTGTGTATATACAACGGTACTTTTCATCTCTGATCTTCTCTCGTTCATCGCCTCATCTCCCTCTCTCCTTCCGCATTCCCTTTCATGCTTTCCTCTGCTTCCTTTTCCCGTCTTCTCGTCTTTGCTTCACGTTCCGTTTTCTTTTCATCACGAGAATAGTCAACTAGGTTCGATCGCCGTGCGGTCGTGCTCGAACTATGCGCCGCGTCATTTTCAAAGAGCAAAGAACGACGTCTCTTTCTCGGGGGTCTTCAACCCCTGGCCACCTATATAGATCTAGATGACGGTTATACATTACATCTGGTATCGCGAAAAGTGAACAATTCTCGATTAAAAGTACAAAGCTATTTTTAAAATATGTTATGACAAATTCACGTCATCGTTTTTGGATTAAGAAACAAAATAAATGTTGAAAAGATAAATCTAATCTTTAAGTAATATATATATGCAAAAATTGTGCAATTTGTTTGATTTGTATTAGCTTCAAATTTCCTTTTTGTTAAAATTATAATGATATCGAGAAAAGCGTTATTAAATGGGATATTTTAAATAATTGGACACTAATTGATTTAGCTTATTGTTAGCACAATTTATTAATAGCGTTTAATATATTTTTGATTATTAGCACAAATCAATTAATACTATATAATTTGTAAATATTTTAATGCAAGAAAATAATTGTATATATAACATTTGGTTAGTTTTATCTGTTATATTATTTAGGAAGTTTTTAAATTAAATTGAAAAATTGTCTGTTAAACTGTCTGTTATATATAAGACAGAAAAGGAGATAATAAAAGAAACAAGAGGATAAATGAAACTCAATTGCGTCGTGAATCGTCCTTAGCAAAGTTATATCGACTTGATCGAGGATAATCTTATAAGAATTCGAAGAAAAATGAAACTTGTATCGATTGCGATCCGTCGTCTCGTCGGAAATCTGGATCGGTCCTCATTTCCTACCCTAGAGTAGATGTTATTCCAACACCGGCGATTGCACTGTATAGAATCCCAGTGTAAGAAACATATACATATATTAAATCGATAACAGGAAATAAGTTGTCAAAGATTGAGGAATTCGGCCTAATAATGCAGTTGCGCGAATTCATGCGACGGCAATTAGAAATCAAATTATAATATAGTATATTGGCGAGTTTTAATTTACTAAAACATTACAAGTGCACACTATTTAGCATATTAAGGCAACAAATATAAATATTTTGTGTTATGTTCTTTATTTTTTTTAATAATATACATAAAATTAATATTTTTAATTTTATAATAATAATAATTTAAACAAATATTTTTTTATGGATACATTGAATGAATCTTTTTCTACATTTTTTCTTCAAGTTTTCTTGTTTGAAGTCTGTATTAACAATATATTCGAGATATCAGTAAAATAAATGAGATTAATTTTTTTTAAATAGTGTAGATTTAAAAAAAAAAATTGATATAGGTGAAAATAAAGTACTATTAAATCGTTCTATTTCCGAAAGATCCTAACGACATATCCATAACAAATAGAAGTATATTTATATTAGTATAGTATATTAAAAAATATATACGAATTGTTTGTCATAAAATATTTAAAAAATATAGACTGATATGGCAATGCGATAACTCTTTCAATATGTCGCGTGTGCACCTCGACTTCACGATTGTAATTTAACCGCGAGTGAATCGCGCGGCCCTGAAAACGGCTCAGCGAGAGTTTAATTTCCTCCGGGATCAGGAAGCACCGTGCAAATCGGCCGGAAGTCCACGTAGACACGTAGGTAGAGTGCACATGAACGCACGTGCGCTCTGACAGCCAGCAGGGCGAGAGTATAACAGAGTGCACCAACGGGAACGGCACAATTAAGTGCAGCACACAATGCTGATGCTAATGTCACGGTCGTCAGGGGGCGGGCGCGGCGATCGCACAATTGAGCGTAATTTACTCCGATATGACATTCGTGCCGCGCCTGCAGTTAATTGATATGTTGTTGCTCTAGCTGTATCTAAAATAGAGATGCTTAAATATTTAATAGCATTGATATTCTTTTTTTTGCTTCCTCATAGAGGAAGCTTTGTTTTCGCGACAAAATTTTTTTTCGAATTTTCTATGCCAATGTGTTTAGAATGTTCCAAAACGTCGAAAAATCATATTCCTAAAAAATGTCTGTATGTATATGTGTGTGTGTGTGTGTGTGTATGTAGCAAAAATTGAAAAATCCGCATGCTTAAAGCAGCTTAAGCATTGTAAGATAAAATGATGAGGAAGCAATGTGCAAGTTTTTAATTTGCACAACTCTACTTGTTTTTTCTTTTGCGCAGCATCGTCGACGAACAAGTATCTCGCGGTGATAAATCGGCAATACGAACGATACGATACAAACGATACGGACAAATAAATAGAAATATTTATGATATTATTCTACGATAATCAAGTAATACTGTGACACATGAATATGTATTGATCGTACTCTTTTTTACACGTGATTATTATATAATTTTTTTTTTATATAAGACATCAATTTAACGCATTTGTACCGAATGTCCTAGAATTAGACTGATAAACTTCATAGCGATTTTAAAGGATACCGAAACAAGCCAATTTTGCCAATAAACCCAATGTCCGCAAATGAGCCGTTTTGGCACTAGAGAATCATAGATTCACAAAGGAACCTCGCAAACCCGAAAATTCTGATTTTGATGAAACTTTACACACATGTAGGGGGGGGGGGGGGAGGGTAAATAGTTGAATTTAGAAATTTCCAGTTGCGTCCCAAAAACGATTCTAAAGGATGAAATCACCCCTTATATGTAGAGCAGTTTTTTGCTTTTTTTGATATATTTCGAAAATTATTCGAGATATCAAAAAATGTTTTATACAAAAGTTTCATGTAAAAACACAAATTTAACCGCATTAATAAAATTTTGAAAAAATAATTTTTTTCAAAGATTTTTGCCTTTGTTAATCTTTGATTCTCTAATGCCAAAACAGCACATTTATAGACATTTATTGATAAAATTGACTTGTGTTTTGGTGTCCCTTATAACCATTTGAAGTTTGTCGGTTTAATTCTGGGACATCTTGTATATTTTGTATTAATTGATTGCGTGCTGCGTAAAACTTTTATTTCGGCCTGTTATAACGAGTGTTTTCACATTTTCCAAAGTAATTGTACAATTTTATTCGTCAGGCGTAAAACCGCATTCTCATTTGTTGCGACTTTTCTTATCTATGGCATATCTTGAGAAATGCGAAGAGTGCGTGCGTCCGTGATTAGCACTCTGTGAATTGTAATTTAATTAAAGAGTCGAGGAAACGAGCTACGGAAGGAAGAGTCTTTCTCGGGTTTTTTTTTTTTTTCTTTACGCATTTGTTATACTTTATCTTTGGATAGACAATTATTGATAGCATCAACTGGAATCGAAATATACATGCGATATCTTTGCGTTTGAGAACTAGAAAGATGCAAGTCTGAAAAGTTCACTTTTCAAGAAAAGATTTCGAACATCCAGAATTTTGCGTACTTTCAAGATAAAATGAATAAGTTTGGTAATTAAATTTACTGTTATAAATTATAAGTTAAATTTATATATTGCCGTGCATTAACACGCAATCCGTTTGACGAATTTGATATTTGTTTGAATGATGGCTATCAGTTTCATTCATCGAAGCTGTTCTTTTTCCCAGTGTATTAACGATCTTTATCAGTATTTAAAGTCTTTTCCATACAAAGGGTTTTTTTAATAGAATAAGATCCATTATTAAGATCTCATACAGTTAACACGTGCCATACGTTCATTATATGATATAAAATATTGATGAGAGTCATCTGATATAAAATTTTAACAGCAGATTCCTTATTTAAAGAGGAAGATTCTGATAAAATGATCTTAGTTTCTATGTTTACTTATAAATAAATAAAGATAATCTTTTTGCCGATTACATTTAAAAAGTAGATATAAATAATCACACCTCTTTCTTTATTCAATTTTGAATAAACTAAAGAATTTTAGTTCCAGACTTGGGGGGAAATATCTCAAATATTTAATATATTTAACAGTTAAAAAGTTGCAATAAAAATGATGGATTTATCTCGACAATTTTTCATAAGAGGTTTTATCTTAGATTTCAATAAAAAATAAACACGGATAAAAATATACGCTAAAATTTTATATTCTCTCTTTCTCACGAATTATCCTGTGTATACAAGGTGTTCCAGGATTAGACCGACAAACTTCAGGTGATTATAAAAGACAAAACAAGCTCATTTTGTCGATAAACTCGTGTCCACAAATGAGCCGCTTTGGCACTAGAGAATCAAAGACTAACAAGGGCAAAAATCTGTGAAAAAAATTATTTTTTTAGAAATTTTGTTAACGTGGTTAAATAGAGGTGTTTTTACCATAAAACTTTTGTATAAAATATTTTTTGTTTTGAAATTTTTAAATTTTTTTTTTCCCCCCCCCCCCCCTCCCTACATGTGTGTAAAGTTTCATCAAAATCAAGATTTTCGGGTTTGCGAGATTTTCTTGTTAGTCTTTGATCCTCTCGTGTCAAAACGACTCATTTGTGGACACAGCCTTATTAGCAAAATTGGCTTATTTTGGCTTATTTCTTTTATAACCACCTGAAGTTCGTCGGTCTAATCCTGGGACATCCTGTATAAAAAATTTCCGTATAAAGGAGAAAAGGAAGAATTGAGGGCTGAGAAAATATCTTTTGACTTCAGCACGGACAGTGGCTGGGACAATCCGTTCAGGCCGGATGGCGATCTATCCCGGGAGGCCGATGAGATCGTCGAGCTGATAAAAGGCGGGAAACCGATCACGCCAACCCCGGGTCAAAACGCACCGCCGTTGCCGGGATGCGACGCCACTGGCAAATCGGCCGAACATGACTCATCGAGTACCAGTCCGCTCCTCAAATCCGCGAACTGTCACTCATCACCCAGGCCCGGTCAAGAGAACGGCAGCGCTCACGGTGGCACCCCCGCTAAGGGCGGGAGCAATCAACAACATGTTAATGAAAAGGTGAGGGACAAAAAAATGTATCACTAATCGACAGCTTGTGGACAATCTTTGATTTTACTATTAACTCATTAATTCAATAATTCGAACAATCTGAACAGTCTGAAGATAAAGTTTAACAATCTATCGAATTAAATCTTTAGTATTAAGATTGATGGGGTATGTGACTAAAATGCATAATTTTATAATTTAACAGCCATTTGTTAAGATGGAATATTTCGATACTCCAGGTCGCCGCGTCGTCGAGGACCGCGACCGTGGAGGTCGCAAGGATGACGGCGCAGGGTCCGGGCGACGCGTCACAGGTCGAGCATGTCACCCTGAAGAAGAAGCCTAAGTGCAAGTGCTGCGTGCTGCAGTAATGACCGCGCGACGCAGGCGGCAGAGACGTGCACGCGAGAGACGGACCCTCCTCCACTGTCGGGAGCGTGATCCTAGGAACTCTTCGGCTTCGAGGCTTCCGTAGAAGTCGCGGCTGGACAGCTCGAAGCGTTGAAGAGCGCGAGACGAGAGACGCGCCAAGGAAGCGTCGATGAAGGAACAGCTTGGAGAGAAATGTCTCGAAGGAGATGCCGATGGACGTTCCGACCACGAAGAAAGCGCCAGCACTCTGGACATGCTTGGGACCTGAAGACAGAAGATGACTTCTCGGAAAGGCAAAAGAGAGTTTCGTCTTTAAGATGGTAAAAAAAAAAACGATATTGGAAAAAAGTGGGAAGATATGTTTGAAATGAAAAGAATATGTATGATTGCGGGGGGGGGGGGGATAGATAAGAAAATCACAGGTTGCTGAAAACCTGAAAGTTGAAATGGATGATGAATCGAATGAGATGTCCAAGAAATTTCGCGTTTTCTAATCGCGAAGAAGTTCGATGAAGGGAAACGGGAAGCAATACTTCAAGGGAAACGCGAAAGTTTTAATCAATCAGCATATTAGATTGATCAAAACTTGAAAAACGAAGGCAACAGACAAGTTTGAAGAGGCTGAGAAAATTGAAATTTCTTTTAGGATATCTTGAAAATAACGATAAAAGTTAATTCTTGCGAAGGAAGATTGAACTCTCATTAAATTATCTCCGAGCACGAGAAAGAATTTCATGGTCCACGAGGAGGACTAAACGAGAGGAAAAATAGTGCGCGAACGAACATTGAACCGTTTCTCGAGACAGTGACACGTTTTACGATAGCGCGAAGGACCGAAAAGATAGAAAAGAAACGGAGAGAAAAAAGAAAGAGAAAAAAAGAAATCTATATATATATATATATATATTATACATACAAAACTATATTGTAGATACAGAATGGTAGCTGTATAGCTTATATGCTTTTACTATCGTGGTTAATTATCGTCAGGATTATCGTGATTTCGAGAATGCATCGTGCGCGTAGAACGATAGAGTAAGAGAAAGAAAGAATGCGTGAGAGAAAGCGCGAATGTACGAAGATGACGATGAATGAAATGATTAGAGCGAAGAGGGGAGTGCGCGACAAGGCATGTAAAGTTCCGCATGACGTCATTCGTTCAGTAGATCTCGGTGCGAGACACATCGTCGTATGAGGAAGCTAACTCAGCGGCTTCGATCATTCTTTAATGCACTGTGAAAGGTATTCGATGCATTAAACATCATTGTGTACAGAATATGCCAGATACACCGTAGTCTATTGTGTCTATGAATTCGTTTATCAGTTTAGAGTTAATTTTCATTATTTTATGGATTTTACGATTTTATTTTCTCTCAGTATTTTACATTTATAATTCAAGAACTAGCTTATATTGTCAAGAGAGAATTCGCGATTTTTAACACCTTGTGTAACAGTAAAGCGTTTTATTTTATTAAATTCATCGGAGGATTTCGTAAATAAAATTTTTCTCCTCTCTATATTTCTCATTCTATCGTTTCTTATTGTTTCACGACTTTTGGTTCGAAGAATTATTACTCTTGTCAATTTGCGCTTTTGCTTACTTTTATTGCATTTCTGGAAAATGCGTATTGTAAAATTTTGACATACGATAAAATTATCACATTTGTGAAGGTTGATGCTGATTCCGTAACCACTATGTAATATAAGGCAGCTCGTTGGTAGTATTTCTAATTTTATCTACGAAATCCTAAAGAGAAGGTTATTTTTGCGCGGATACAAATGGCGTTTAACGTTAAATGATATTAAATGGTGTGGTTCTAATAAATTTATTTCTTTAGATCCCTCTCCGCATGTCTCTTTCATAACATATCGTTGAATCAGTTGTTGGTTGCCCTTATATCGATAAGTCAGCCTCAATTTTGTTCGCTAAAATAATCTCGAATTTTTTTACGATTGACGTATGTGAATTTTTTATTATGACAAATTATGCAAATTTTCGATTTTATTGCGCTATTACGTTTTTTAGGGGCAAATTCGAGAAAGAGAGAGAGAGAGAGAGAGAGAGAGTTATTTCTCTTCTCTTACGATCATGATGAACAGAATTGCGCCTTCTTGAACATGCCGAGGGTTCGATCTTGAAACTTCGTTATGTTTGACCGAGTACCCAAGTGCATTTCGTTAATTATCGTCATGGGCGCCGCTTGAATTTTTCATCGGGGCTCGCATATGCAGGATCATTGTTAGGTATCTTCTGAAATATAAAATCTTTTGGTCAGGATTTTTTTATACGTATGTTGAAGTGTGCGTTTTATTAAATTGAAAAGAATTTGCGAAGATTCATCTTTTAGTCTTTTATTTATACTTGAATATTATCAATACAGTATTTTATAATATTAATTAATATGCGTTTGTTCGCCGCTTTCGTCATTTTCGGAAACTCGAATAAGTGCAAATATGTTTTCTTGCACTTTTCTCACGACGCCCATGATTTCTGTGTACCTGCGTTAATGAGTTCCGCGTTCGATCAGGGCGACTCGATTTAAAATTTACAATTTGACGATAGATTGTAATATTATATAATTTAAATTTGCTATTTAAAGATACACAATAGAGAAAAGAATTGACTTCATATTGAGCACAGAATCTGTCATTAAAATCGAGACACTTTAATATCATTCGGCTCACTCTGATCGACGGCGAAGCGGAAGTGCGTGAGGTGCCGGGGAGAGAAACCGAATTGTTTGAACGGTGTCGAAGATACTATTTTCCTAATTAACGAGCCGCTCGAGGGGGAAATCTCGGCGCCTCCCTGCTTCTGCAATGGCGATTTTTAATGGACGAAAACAATTTATTGTGCGAACTAGTCGAAGGTATCGGGGGGTGTTAACTCTTCGTGGCGGCGATGTAAAAAAAAATATCTTTTTATCTTTTATATACAGGGTGTATCCTAAAAAGTGGGAAGTATTGCAATGGGGGATTCACGACAATAATTGTGTCCTGAATCCCCATTGCAATACTTCCCACTTTTTAGGATACACCCTGTATAGTTGTTATAAATCCTAGTTGCGCAACATAATATCAAGAGAAAAAGGATATTACTTCGTTGCATGCGGAGTATGATACTAAGTCTGCTGGAAATTTTAATTTTGAATTGTAAAATATGTGCTTCTTTTTAAAAACTATTGCGATATTAATCATTTATATTAAACGATATTATAAAATAATTCAATTTTAATCTCATAGAGAAAATAGTATGCAACAGTATCTTTACTTTTCCCATTCTTTTATCTGCTTCTTTCTTACAATGTGCTTTCTCACAGCTTGTGTTAATTCTCGAAAGGATTCTCCGGACGTTTTGTAGGATCCGGAAATATTCGATATTTCGCGTGCCGCGAAGAGCCGATCGAGCGCAGTTTGCGCAGCGCAGTGCAAACGAGAGAGATCTGTAACGCGCATACCTACACACGAGAACCTCTTAACGTCTGTTCCCACGCAAAATGTTGACTCTGCTGAGCTTACAGATATTAAACGAATATTAAATGTCTTGTTAAAAAAAAAAAAAAAAATGGCATGAAGTATGTATTGCGACTATTGACATGAGGCCTACAAAGATAGATCCGAAATAATACAAATTTAAAATACAACAGTTGCCGAAATTATTGTCATAATTATAATTTGTTGCATAATATGTAAAAATTCACGAGTTTGTGATTCTTCGGATCTCTTCTTGTAGGCCGACGACTTCCAATAAATCACCGCCCATCCTCTCGGCATCCAAGAATTTTCTTCCCAAAAAATGCGAAATAATAAATTACGATGAGAAATTCGGAAAGAGAGAAACGAGCTGTAAAAATTATAATACTATTATACTGCTGTTCATTAGTGACTCACATGACGCCGCTTAAAGTGTCTAAATTACGAAAGATGTATTATTTATTGAGCATGCGAAACAGCTGATTAATTCGAAATACCTCTCTACACCATCCATCACACAAAGTTGCAACGACATACATTAATACATTACGACGACTCGTTTGTAAATATTACGCGTTGTTGACTCGCTTTTTACGAGAAAAGGAATCCACTTAATATTTCAAGAAATTCCATATCTGAAAATATTAGAAAAAAGAAATTGCAACTCTTAAATCTTTGCATATAAAAGTTTTACATTGAAAATTTGAGTTCAATAGAACAGTTGGAAAAAAATACGACATCTTTCGATTATTGATAATTATGCGATGCTAAAATGATATAATTATTAAAATTATATTGTTTTGTTTAACTACACAACATGTTTTATCATCTATACGTAATTATAATCAAGAGTTAAATTAATAGATGGTATGATTTAGAATTAGACCGCGGCGCAAGAAATTAAACTACAAAATGTATCGCAGGTTTTATAATTTTCCGCTGTTTTTCCTACGTCGACATCTACGTCTCTACGCATTCATTATAAACGCGTACGCGGATTCACAATCTGCGATCCTTTCGCCGACGAACGCCAAGTGACGAAATCCTGAAGACAGCCGATGGATTATGTTAATCGATACTGCAAACACGGTATATATATGGTGATGTGCACACATCTTTACGAGATCCAGGTTTGTCTCAGATTTACTATGAAATGTTTTTATCTACGGACATTAACCGGCCTTTTTTGGCGTCTCGCCAATGATTGATTTGTCCGTGCGACGACCTCTTTTATGTTTCTTATTACTAGTCTTTTTTCGTGATACAAGTTCATTTAGGAAAAATGATAGCTATTCGATATTCTTCTCATTATTTATGTTATGTAAAATATCGACTTTTTAATTATTATTATCGGACAATTTTTAATCAATTTTTATCACATTTAGATGACTGTTGTATTATTAATTTTTTTTTTTTTAGTTATCTTTTTGTAAAGTAATAATAACTATGCTCTCTTGCGTATTAATTATCGTTTAACAAACGCGCAGTTTATCTTGCCATTATTGGTTTGCAGGGAGTTGGCTACCTATTTAGGATCGATACACGAAAGTATGTCAGCTATAATCACAGTCTCGCGGTAACTCATGTCGTACGCGTGCTCCAGTACGCGCCATTGCTCGTTTCATTCACGATCCCCTCGACCATCCTCGTGATACTCTTGATCGTTGTAGTGATAGTTAAAAATAAACGACGAGTGAACGCGACAATTATCAGGCCGTACGAGAGGCTTGCAGCCAGAGTAGTCTGACCCACAATCTCTAATAAGCCTATTTTATTTGAATTATTGTTGAAAAATTATCCAAATTTTTTGTTAGACAGATTGAATAATAGAAATTTTTAACTGCTGTCGTTTTTATAAAATCACTTACACGACGAAATACTGCCTTTTTGGGAAAGAAGAAACTTTGTAACGAGATGTCCCTTTTAAATACAGATTAAAAGGGTAGTAAAAAACAGAAACTTTGGGTTAAAAACTCGGTAAAAAAATTGTTTTTTATTCTCCAAAAAGTGAGTTTTTTAGCTCATTAATTACTCAGAATATCTATTTTTAAAAATTTATAGCAAAAATCTAATTTGGATGCTTATTTATTAACTTTTGATGCACAGCTTTGAAAAATGAACATCAAATTTACTAAAATTAGGTATCAGATTCCATGTCCTGTGTTATTTTCACTTCTGGTTTACAAAATAATATAAATAACTGCAGTTTAACTATGCTTGAGAGAGTCTTCTTCTAACTTTTATGAAAAATGAAGAACATCAAAAAATACTATTGAATTATAAAAATCAAAATTAACCTGTTTTAAAATATTTGAACTCAACTGATTAAACAAATGCGAAGTAGTAATCAGCTCTGCCACATCCATTGAAATTGATTACTGACCCAGTATATAAAATTAATTTAATTCCCATACCATCTTTTATTCGAAGAAAACTGGCACTGTCTTTCAAAATTATAAAAAACAGTTTTTTACCCCAAAATACCGGTTTTTTTACTTAGTTTCTTATCCCATTTTCAAAAAACCCGGTTTTTTAAATCTCTACGCTTAAATGAAGCCAGTCTTAATTGAAGCCAGAGTAGTCTGACCCACAATCTCTAATAATGTTATTTTATTTAAATTATTGTTGATAAATTATCCAAATTTTTTGTTAGACAGATTGAATAACAGAAATTTATATACACTGCTGATATTTTTATCAAATCACTTACACGACGAAATTTTGCTTTTTGAGGAAAGAAAAAACTTTGTAACGAGATATAGTCCCTCTTCAATGGGTATTGATTAATTCGATTAATATGTATTATATAAGAGAATAGAAACCTACCGTCTCGACTTTCACCATATAAGATATCTGATAAGGACGACGCGATAAGATCTTAATCCCCTATTGTTACAAATTAAACTTTATCCAAAGTCGTGCGATTTTTAATGATCGGGGTTATATTGCGTTAAGATATGTGATATAATTAGAATTTATTAAAATCTATTTATATATATTTACTCTCCGGATCTGATCCTCGCATGTAGGCACACATATCTTTAAAACATTGACATTTGAGCATACGTCGTGGGAAGAAACAGATGAAATGATGAAATTATAATAAATCGATGATTGAATGCGAAATGGTCAGTGTCTGTTCGAAGATGCTTTCAAATTCTTGCACAAACATAAGTTATGATAATTCGATTAGCTCTGAACAATTTCTGACACATTGTGGTGCCTACGATAAAGATAAAAGATCATAAATCAACTCTGATTTTCTCGCTCTCCTGAGATTAAGAAATTTTAGACAAATTTTTCGACAATTTCGTTGGCTATTATGATTAAGAAATAACACATGAGAATGATATATAAAGAATTTATCTCGCGACTCGACTTAATCTAATTATTTACGTCACATATATTTCACGCGATAGAAAATAATAAATATATTATCGGATATATATATATTTTTTTAATATTGGAAATAAATAAATTTTATATATATATTATAAATTTTTATTTAGTTAGCGCAACTTTTTAATGTCATTATTTTTGTAAAATATATGTAGGAAATTAAAACAATTATTTTTTTTTCTACACAACTTCTTTTGGTTAAAATATTTTTATAAGTTTTTATTTTCGATAATCTAAAATAACACTATTTTGTGCAGATTAAATTAAAATAATTATTTTGTAAATATATATAACAGTTTTTCACAACTGGCGCCTTCTTTTTACCTTTTTTTTTTTTTAAAAGTAAATTTTTATATATTTTACGCTAAAGAGAATAATAAAAAAAATAAAGCTTCTTTTTCTTCGAGATGTTTGAGCAATATATCTTGTCTATCAATTTTTGCGAATGAAAGGAGATAACAGATAAATCAGGATGATATGCGAATTAATTAACGTTTAATCCGTGAAGTCTCGATCTCGGAGAATTTGTCCTCGTTAAATTTTAATCGGTAAAAGTGTTAAGAGATAAATCAGAGTATAGTACGACGATCACGACTCACACTCCGTCACTTTTCGCGGCACAAAAATTCCCGATAAATAATATTCTATTTATCATATCACGCGTCGTTGCGTGAATGCCGGACTATAATTTTGCGCGTACACGTCGTGCTCGCGTTGCGCAAGAATATTTTTGTACATCTCTCGAGAGTTCTCTTCAATGAGAGAGGTGTATCGAACCTTTTGCCAAAGTTATGCAACTTCGAGAGTGATGGCGTCGCGTTTCGCTCTCCCGGTATATATTGAACAATCTAAAATCCACGATCTTCTTAGTTGCAACATTTCAGTCGAAAATTCGCATTCCATGATTAAGCCTAATCGAAGAATAGGATTTTGCCATGAACCTTTGACTTCTTTAATTTTTCGACACTTCGACTTCTCTTCGGGTATAATCTCATGATTTATCGATACTTGAATCAATCCGTGAAGAAAAAAAAATTGGATTCATTGTATCAATAGAGTATTACGCATCTGCATTGGAATAAGGAATTTGACAGCAAGGTCTTTCCTCTAAGAGCGTTTCATAATAAAATTCGTGTAACATTATCTCGAAGGAGAGATATAAATAGAAAAAAAACCAAGCCTTGTTCTTTTTCAAAATTTTGATTTTTTTGAGTATTTAATATCTTTATATTTTAATTACTACAAATTGATTTTTTATTATTTTTTCTACTTTATATTTTAATTACTGCAAATTGATTTTTCATTATTTTTAACTTTTTAGATGATAGATTTGAATTAATTATTATTTTAATTGTAGCTCGCATTCCAATTGGCTATAATATATATAGTTATGCATCTAATTGAAAATTATCCGAATCATGCCGAGTTTGATGTAATTTGTCGTAAAAGTCTCATTAATCCATCAAAATTATTTTTGAAAAAAAATAACACAAAATATAAGAACTTTAGTTTTTTTTATTGTTAACAAAAAAA